GCACAAATAATAATAATAATAATAATAATAATAATAATAATAATAATAATAATAATAATAATAATAATAATAATAATAATAATAAATATAACTTTTATAATTAACAAATAACAATTTATTTCTATTATTTAATTAAATTCAATGTACAATTATATCTACTGAAATATAGTTTTTAAAAAAAACACATAATTTACATGGGATTATATAAAGTAAGCACTTTATATATCAGCACGATGCACTTTATAAAATAACACGTTGCACGTTATAGAACAACACACTGCAATAAAGGAATGCACTTTACATATTGGACGATGCACTTTATAAAACAACACGTTGCACATTATAAACAACACATTGCAGTCTATCGTTACATTGCAGCATTAACGTCAACATCTCCAAAAAAATACCACACAACATAAATCTAAAAGAAGGCTATACATAATACTTTAACATCATTCAACATCAATCAGCACATTTATCCATATAAAACACAAGCATGCTAATATACAAAAATGACAGTAGTTCACTTTATACATCATCACGTTGCACGATATAAAACAACATGTTGCACCTTACAAAACAACAAGTTGCACTTTTTCACGAGTAACAGATTGCACAATATAGATCGAAAAGGACCGAACCCAATTTTGTTTCAACCAAAAATAATATGAAATTAGTAACATGTTAAATATAATTTTAATAAAAATAACAAATTATTTTAATTATTTAGATAATTCGGATATACTACCCAAATAAACCAATAAATTATGTTCATTTGCATACGTTCATTTGGTTCAATCTGCACAATACAGACCGACATCATGCACCATAGTGTTGGACGAATTGCACTTTAGTAGTTATTTGATTAAACAGTATTTTTCATTTATAATACATATTATTTTTTTTAATACTAAATAATACTAAATACTAAATAATACTATTTGTCAAATAAAATCATATTAATTATTCATCATGTTTTTTTATATAAATAATATAATTTATGACGCTTATTTGAGTTATTTATGTTCCCCAACAAATTAATCCAATTATGTCGAAATTTTCAATTCAAATTTTTTATATTTCATTTTCATTATTTAAATTTAACTTTTTCACGCGCATATATATACACAATATTGTGCATTCATTCATCGAAAATATGAATTATTTATCAAACATTTAATAATTTCATATACACATATGACATTATTTCTTAAAGTGCACACCTACCCACAATATAGTGCATTTAATGTATCATTATTGGGCATTAGTTAATTCCATTAAGTATAAATTGCCATCCATAAATAAAAATGTAATTGTATTAAAAAATCAGAAATTGCAAAATATCCCTCAAATCTATCTAATTTCCCAAATCACACCACATCCCCAACAACATCATCCCGTCACTCTCCCGTGGCTCATCCTCATCCACCTCGCCGCTGTCAACCACCGACCGCCGGAGTCGCCGTCTGCCCGCCACATCTCCTCCATCCTCGGCCACCGCTACATGTACTGAAACCAGCCCCAAAAATCGCACAGAACATAGAAACGAAACTGTTGAAATACACTCGACACAGACTGGTACTATGTTGAAATAGGCTCGTCGCCGGCACATGAACGGGAGGTCACCTGAGCCTCCGCTTCGTAGGCTTCCTCGATGACGGCGCCTCCTGCAGAAAATAAAATGGGAGCGGCGGCGCCGCAGGTGAGCTCGACGACGACCCGCTCGGAGTGGCTATGGAGGGGTGCAGGAGTGAGGTCGAAAGTGCGAAAGGTTCGTATGCTGTACAGCGGCGGACGATGAGGAGATAGGCGGGAGGATGATTGCCGATATGCTACTCGTCGGATTTCGCCGGAGACTACTGCGACACGGCGGAGCGTAGAGGATGCGCGGCGGAGATACGGCGGTGGCAGGGTGGTCGCTGAGCTCGATATACTGGCGAGCCGCCGTGGGGGAGACGAAATGAGAGTGCAGATCTGGTAGAGCCGTAGAGATGAAGGAGATAAGGTGAGAGAGAAAGTGATATGAGTTTGGTGATGTGGGTCCCACTTAATTGGATGGGAGTGTATAAAATTACACAGATGCCCTTGTATGTTTTAATTTGATTAAAAGATGTCAAACTATTTACCATATTGTCATTAATGATTGACCAGGTTTGACTTCAAAATGACCATTGATGTATTGGATCAAATGGTACAAAATCATTCTTATTTCTTTCACTAGGAATCATTCTCATATGATCCCTTCTCTATATATATATATATATATAGGGTTGGGTTCACATGAGAATGGTTCTCCATGAAAGAAATAAGAATAAATCATAGCCATTAGATCGGATGATCTAATGGCTAAAAACAAACAAAAAATTTATAT